TTTGTGATTTTTTTTCATGTAAGCTATAGCTTCTGACCTTTAAATCAAAACATACTCATGATTTTATGGCATCAATTACTGCTTTATTTAATCAGAAACAGTCTACATATTATTTGTGTATTTTGCTTTCATTTTATTAGAAGTACGCCAACAGCGCCCCCTACGGAATTAAAACTCCTTACTGAGCAGGCTTTAAGACCCGGGGGAGGCTGCCGCTGCACGTGCTATTACCGTTTACTCTATCATACACCGAATGCGTCAATCTGTACGTGCATTCTCTGTTTAAATGCAGAGATCCAAAACAGTGAATCCAATAACCATTCAGGCAAAATTTTGCTTCAAGAATGAGCCACAATGCTGACATGATCTAATAACACTGTTGACGTGATCTAATCGCTAGCACACCCTGAGCACATGCGAGTTAACGCATTCCTCTTATCGGCGAGACATATCGACATAATTTTTCAAATCGGGCCGATGCCGATATTTACATTTAAAGCCATCATCGGCCGATTCCGATATTGGTCCGATAATATCGTGCATCCCTATTACTTATTACACTGTAACAAGCTCACCTTAAAAGAACTTATACCAAAAAAATTAACACAAATATTTAATTTTATTTTAGTAGAAATTTTACCAGTACTCAACACTGTATACATTTTGAAAAAATGTTAAACTCTGTAACAGGAGTGGCAGCATGCAGGCAGAATTTCTTTCAAAGGTTAGAGTAAAGTCGCTTTCTCATAATAGGTCACCTATGAGTATGTCATAAAAAAAAAAAAAAACGAGAAAATGACGTTGTTTTAATTCCCCAAAATAGTTGTCAAGTGTGATACCCGCTGAGGACGTGGCTGCGTTCAGTGTTGTACTTCAGGGGCGTGAGTTCGGCTCGGAGCACCTGCAGCGCTTCTAGAACCTTTCCGTCCTCCAGATACTCCAGATACTTCTGCTGCAGGAGCAGGAACTTCATCCGCTGAACACACAGGAGAAAATCAATCAGGACGTTCATAAAACGGATGGTGGAGATGTGACTTTGGACTTACCACCACAGCGCTGGGTGAATGCATCAGTGCTTTCAGCTCGTTGAGGTCACTCTCAGCCTGTTAGAAAACACAGCCAGATTAACTGAGTTTACACAAGTTGACAAACCCTTATCAGTTGCTTGCTTGGCTTGTTGTGACCCATTTGACTATTACATACACAAAAAGGGCAAAGTTTTGAAACGCCCATAAGGTGTAATCCTACTAGCTACTGATGGGAATCGTAAGCAGTTTAATGATTCTGGTTCCAGCTCGGATCCCACCGCATTATTCCACTTCTGTTAACAACTTTTTTAAAGGAATAGTTCACCCAAAAATGAAAATTTGCAAAAACAAATTGTCCTCACCCTCAGGTCATACAAGATGAGTTTGTTTCTTCATCAGATTTGGAGAAATGTAGCATTGCATCACTTGCTCACCAATGGATGCTCTGCAGTGAATGGGTGCCGTCAGAATGAGAGTCCAAACTAAAAAAATCACAATAATCCACAAGTAATCCACACCACTCCAGTCCGTCAGTTAATGTCTAGTGAAGTGAAAAGCTGCTTGTTTGTAAGAAACAAATCCATCAAGATGTTTTTAACTTTAAACTGTTGCTTCTGGCCATAATGCATAAAAATGCTTCCTCGAGTGAAAAAGTCCATCTTCCGTTGTCCTCTCACAACAAATATGCTGCTGGATTTTAAGATCTGTCTTAGACTTTTTTCACTTGTAAACGGTGCTTCATCTGTGCAGATTTCTCTCCTGATTCAAGATGACTTTTTCACAATATTATTGATAGGATTTGTTTCTTAAAAACACAGCTTTTCGCTTAACTAGTCATTAACTGATTGACTGGAGTGGTGGGGATTACTTGTGGATTATTGTGATGTTTTTATCAGCTGTTTGGACTCTCATTCTGACGGCACCCATTCACTGCAGAGGATCCACTGGTGAGCAAGTAATGCAATGCTACATTTCTCCAAATCTGATGAAGAAACAAATTCATCTTGGATTACCTGAGGGTGAGTAAATTTTCAGCAAATTTTCATTTTTGGTTGAACTATTCCTTTAATAATTTAGTTGAAGACTATGGGTGGAAACTATTCTTATTGCATTTACTATCCTCTAAAGAAGGGGTGTCAGACATACGGCCCACTCTGGCCCGTGGGATGATTTGGACAATAATATAAAATAATAAATAAAACATTATTTTGAAAATTAAATAAAGTGCATTCCCTACAATGTTTGATTTTTTATTTAAAGTGGAAAAATGGCTCGTTTATTTGTGTTAATGTTACGCCGTTGGGACATCTACCACACATTTTAGGGAAAAATCACGATTTTAATCACGATTCTTTGTCACGTTGGTTTTACTATGTTGCAAGTTGTCTGAGCAGTACAGTCAAACTACCGTATTGACCCGAATATAAGACTATGTTTTTTTCTTGGAAATACATCTGAAAAAACGTGGTCGTCTTATATTCAGGGTACATCTGGAAAAAGGGGGGTCGTCTTATAATCAGGGTCGTCTTATATTCGGGCCAATACGGTAATTTCCCTATTTTAAAAACAAAGCCTTATAAGGTAACAAAATATAAAATAAAAAAAGAATGGCAGACATTTAGGCCAAAGAGGGCGAAGATAAAAATCTGTCATTATTTTATCTTTGTTTACTCTCAACATTCTTATTTTTTAATAACAAAGACATTCCAGTTGTATCCCATCTGCATGCCACAAACACTGTTTTTTCCTTCTGTAATGTAAAGACTTCAACATTTCCTAGACTCTAGGGATGCACCGATACCATTTTTCAGAACTGATCCGATCCAACCCAATATCAAAAATTCGGAGTATCGGCTGATACTGATACGATACCGGCACAGTATTTTTTTTAATCAATGTAGAATTTCTATACCTCTATGTGTTGACCTGATCATCACTGTTTTGTGTGTTAAACACAATCTACTAAATATAGACAACTTCATTATACAGAAAAATAACAAATGAAAAAATATATAATCATAATCTATGACAAAAATACTATTATAAACTAGGTTAGTGGATAATTCAGCTGCAAAAGTTACTCTAGAAAAATGAGTGCACAATACTTTTATAAAATCTAAACATTTACTGAAAAAACATTTAGTGGGGAAAAAATAAAAGTGAATAAGTGTAGAGCTAAATCGTTGCTCTTTGTATTGTTGTAAAATACATTCATGAAAAACAATAAATATATTTCTATATAAATATTATAAAATTAAAAGACATTTCTTTTAAATGTAGAGCACAGTTATGAGGCAGCAACATATGATAGATAGGACAGAACAAGAAAGGCTATTAATAATATTTCATCTCGCAAAAGTATTATAACATGAAAGGCTCCAATACAGAGCGGCACAAAGCGCTTATGCGCATCCCGTGCACAGAATGATGCGCTTGAAGCAGCACGGAGTCACGGCGAGCAGCGCTTCGCATAGAAAAGTTCAAAGCACAAAGGGAAGAGATATTGATGCGTAGTGTATTATATCTGTGCAATAGTCTCTTTTCTTTTAACAGTTTTGAATTTCAGTTACTGGGCATGTTAAGAACAATTCATAGTGCTCTCTACTCCAGTGTTGTGATCTAACAGACACCCGGTAGAAAGTAACATGATATAGAAACAGCACTAAACTCCAGCAAGATAAAGTCCTTTTATGCAAAACCATTGATCTTTATCTACAGATCAAGTATAATAATAGGAACATTGAATCCTCTTGGACAGAGTTTTATTGTCTTGACTGTCATAACCGAACGCGACACGCAGTTTTAATGTTGAAAGGAGGATGACAGACAGCCGCAGCGGAGAGAAGAGTTTACGGGAACTTGAATTTAATGACTTCAATATTCATCTGTACCTCACATTAAACTATGGAACGGATTCAGAACATTTGGAATATAGTGCACAAAAACTTTATGGTGCTTTATAATGTTTTTGTGCCTTTCGTGGCTTAACAATAACACAATAGTATATGCACATTAATGGATTTGGATCCATCTCGTCTGACCGATACCTGATCCGGCAGAAAATGGCAGTATCGGAGCCGATACAGATACCGATTATCGGATCGGAGCGTCCCTATCCTAGACTGGCTACATGAAGACTCACCTTTTCCCATTCTCCCTCCATCACATGATTCCTGAACTTGGTAGCAGCAGGATGCTCAAGTCTACAGCCTGATTCCTGCATCAACAGGTCCACTGTTTGACTGAAACAAAAAGAAAGATGCTAATGAATATTGTGAAGTGGATTCATACTCATTTCACATGATAGCCTCAGGATTAGAGATTTGATTCAGCATTTTATATTCTTGCGCACACACCCACACACAGACAGAGTTCCAATCTCCTGGCAACAAGAAGTCAGTGTTTGATTCATGAACACAATAATTAACATAAATTCCTGAACTTGTCATTTCCTAGAAAGGAACACCACTCCCGCTCAATTCAATACAAACTGTGTGGAGCACCAATTCACCTGCTTTTCTACACAGAAAACAGGTAGGTTTATGCTAGGCAAGACAGACTGCAATAAAACTAGTTTACCTTGCTTTTACCTTGTCGACAATAACAATTGAACTAGTAAACTAATACACTAGACATGTTTATATATACACATATGGGTGTGTTTTTTTTCTTCAACATTTCAAATTCAGATTTTATTAAAAAAAAAAATTTTTCTTCTTTTTGTTATATGAAGGTCTTACAGGACTTGTGTACTAGCCTATGTGGCAACATATACTGTATTTGATAAAACTATATTATATTATAGTGTCTGGCAGTTTAGAGCAACAATAGCATGAAAATATAAAAATACCACTGCAATATCATGAAAACAGACATCATTATGCAATCATAACAGTCACTATTATTACACTATTATTAAAGCAGAAAAACACCACTGACACTATCATGAAAACACAAAAACACTTTTGACAATACCATGAAAGCACCACTGAAAACAAACAAACAGACAAAAATCAACATGTTACAAAATACCACTGACACCACCTTGAAAGCACAAAACCACTGACACGATTATGAAAACAATAACAGCACTGACACTCTACAAGAACACTACTGACACCATCATGAAAGCACAAAAACACCACTGACACTGTTATTAAAAAAACACTAACACCACTGACATGGCACAAAAACACCACTGACACGGTTATGAAAACAATAACAGCACTGACACTGTTATTTAAAAAAACACTAACACCACTGACATGGCAGAAAAACACCACTGACATGTTATAAAACACCACTGACACTGTTATAAAAAACACTAACACCACCGACATGGCACAAAAACACCACTGAAATCTAAGAAAAATCCACTGACATGTTACAAAAAACCACTGCCACTGTTATGAAAACAATAACAGCACTGACATGCTACAAGAACACCATTGACACCATCATTAAAGCACAAAATCACCACTGACACGGTTATTAAAAAAAAACACTAACACCACTGAAATGATACAAAAACACCATCAAGACAGCACAAACAAACAACAGCACTGACACCACAATTAAAGTACAAAAATCACCTCTGAAAAATAAAATATAAAAAAAAAATAACAGCACTGACATGCTCATTAACACAAAAACACCACTGACTCTGTTATGAAAACAATAGCAGCACTGACACTCTACAAGAACACTACTGACACCATCATGAAAGCACAAAAACACCACTGACACTGTTATTAAAAAAACACTAACACCACTGACATGGCAGAAAAACACCACTGACATGTTATAAAACACCACTGACACTGTTATAAAAAACACTAACACCACCGACATGGCACAAAAACACCACTGAAATCTAAGTAAAATCCACTGACATTATGAAAACAATAACACCACTGACATGCTACAAGAACACCACTGACACCATCATGAAAGCACAAAAACACCACTGACACCGTTATTTAAAAAAAACACTGACACCACTGAAATGATACAAAAACACCATCAAGACAGCACAAACAAACAACAGCACTGACACCACAATTAAAGTACAAAAATCACCTCTGAAAAATAAAATATAAAAAAACACTAACACCACTGACACTGTTATAAAAAACACTAACACCACTGACATGGCACAAAAACACCACTGAAATCTAAGTAAAATCCACTGACATTATGAAAACAATAACAGCACTGACACTGTTATTTAAAAAAACACTAACACCACTGACATGGCAGAAAAACACCACTGAAATCTAAGTAAAATCCACTGACATTATGAAAACAATAACACCACTGACATGCTACAAGAACACCACTGACACCATCATGAAAGCACAAAAACACCACTGACACCGTTATTTAAAAAAAAAAAATAAAACCCACTAACACCACTGACACTGTTATAAAAAAACACTAACACCACTGACATGGCACAAAAACACCACTGACACTGTTATGAAAACAATAACAGCACTGACACTGTTATTTAAAAAAACACTAACACCACTGACATGTTATAAAACACCACTGACACTGTTATTAAAAACACTAACACCACTGACATGGCACAAAAACACCACTGAAATCGAAGTAAAATCCACTGACATTATGAAAACAATAACAGCACTGACATGCTACAAGAACACCATTGACACCATCATTAAAGCACAAAATCACCACTGACACGGTTATTAAAAAAAAACACTAACACCACTGAAATGATACAAAAACACCATCAAGACAGCACAAACAAACAACAGCACTGACACCACAATTAAAGTACAAAAATCACCTCTGAAAAATAAAATATAAAAAAAAATAACAGCACTGACACTCTACAAGAACACTACTGACACCATCATAAAAGCACAAAAACACCACTGACACTGTTATTAAAAAAACACTAACACCACTGACGTTACAAAACACCACTGACACTGTTATGAAAAACACTAACACCACTGACATGGCAGAAAAACACCACTGAAATCTAAGTAAAATCCACTGACATTATGAAAACAATAACACCACTGACATGCTACAAGAACACCACTGACACCATCATGAAAGCACAAAAACACCACTGACACCGTTATTTAAAAAAAACACTGACACCACTGAAATGATACAAAAACACCATCAAGACAGCACAAACAAACAACAGCACTGACACCACAATTAAAGTACAAAAATCACCTCTGAAAAATAAAATATAAAAAAAAAAATAACACCACTGACATGGCAGAAAAACACCACTGACATGTTACAAAACACCACTGACACTGTTATGAAAAACACTAACACCACTGACATGGCACAAAAACACCACTGAAATCTAAGTAAAATCCACTGACATTATGAAAACAATAACAGCACTGACACTGTTATTTAAAAAAACACTAACACCACTGACATGGCAGAAAAACACCACTGGCATGTTATAAAACACCACTGACACTGTTATAAAAAACCACTAACACCACTGACATGGCACAAAAACACCACTGAAATCGAAGTAAAATCCACTGACATTATGAAAACAATAACAGCACTGACACTGTTATTTAAAAAAACACTAACACCACTGACATGGCAGAAAAACACCACTGACATGTTATAAAACACCACTGACACTGTTATAAAAAACACTAACACCACCGACATGGCACAAAAACACCACTGAAATCTAAGAAAAATCCACTGACATGTTACAAAAAACCACTGCCACTGTTATGAAAACAATAACAGCACTGACATGCTACAAGAACACCATTGACACCATCATTAAAGCACAAAATCACCACTGACACGGTTATTAAAAAAAAACACTAACACCACTGAAATGATACAAAAACACCATCAAGACAGCACAAACAAACAACAGCACTGACACCACAAAGTACAAAAATCACCTCTGAAAAATAAAATATATAAAAAAATAACAGCACTGACAAGAACACCACTAACACTATCATGAAGACAAAAACACCACTGACTCTGTTATGAAAACAATAGCAGCACTGACAAGCTACAAGAACACTACTGACACCATCACAAAAGCACAAAACACCAGTTCCGCAATCGTTAAAACATAACAACATCAGTGACACATTACAAAATCACAACTGACCGCATCGTGCAAGCACAACCACACCACGGACAGATTCAGGAAAGCCGCACTGACAGCATCATGGCTTCATGTCGCCTGACCAATCCAATAATAACCCGATGATAAGGCGCTGATCGCGGCTGAGCTTCACTTACTTGAGTCCTAACCCGTGGAGATGTTGTCCTATGAGCCGGATCACATCCTCGTCGCTCTGGGACAGTCGTTTCTTCTTCTTCATGCTGGTGTCTGACGCCGGGCTCTCGGTGGACGGCAGCCCGTTATTCGCGGAGGACAGCAGCCCGTTGGAGTGCACAGCTTCCGCGGCGGAGGACGAGGACTCTCCGTTCCTGCAGGGCAGCTGCGGCTCCGGCTCCGGCTCCGGCTCTTGTCCTCCTGTCCCGTTGGCCTGCATCTTATAAAACGCGTTTACAGTGGCGGATCTGCGCGACTGCGAGCTGTTATGGAGACGGATGGCCGAGCGCTGGTGGGGGGTTGGGAGAGACGCCGCAGAGAGGCCCGTGATCCCGGCAGCAGACGCCCCGCTCTCTCCTGCTCCCTCCGCCGCCGAGCCTCGGCTTTTCTTCCGCGGGGGCGGCGAAGCTCCGCCGGTTTCCGAGTCGGAGGAGGAGGCAGCGGAGGCCAGAGTTTCCTCGCCGGCAATGTCAGAGTCGAGACGCCTCACAAGCTCGATATCAGCGCGATTACAGACACGGAAGCCGCCGCCGTTCTTTCGCTCGCTCGCTCGCTCGCTGCTCTTGTTATTGTTTGTCAGAGAACAGCTGCAAGTCCATTACGGACGTCGGTCGGTGCGCGATGACGTCATCGGAAGAGCCGCAACAACCTTGAACTCTCTAGAATCACAAAAAAATAAATAAAAATAAAAAACTCTCTAGAATCATATAAAGCCACACTCAAGAAGAGAGCTGGCTTCACGTTATTGTTGTACAGTCTAACAAAAAGTACTGACGCTGTCAGATAGCAATAGAGTTCAAACTTACTGAATGATTAAACAAGAACACCATGAAGCGGTATTAACAACTTGTTAATGCCTTGGTATTAACATGATACTTCTTGAGGGAACTTACAGAAAAGTTTTGTATCCAGCAATAATATTTGATTACCAATAATACTGGTATGACTGTATTTACATGGTAAATAGGCCTACCAATAAAATACATACATACATACCATGGTACTGCTGTATTTCTATGGCACATCGTCAAAAAATATGAAGTCGTGTCCACAAAGCTATAGTAATAATACCATGGCAATTTTGGTATGTTTTCATCAGTGGTATAGATGTGCTATACCTGGTATGACTTTCTGAAATGGAAACCAGGGACATTTCCTAGCAGTCATCCAAATGTCATTATCTATGATTTTTTTTTTTTTTTTAAATGGGGACAATACTTTTTTTTTTTTTTTTTAGGTCCATATACCGGTACTTTTATATGGTTTTAAGGTAAGTTTGACAAGTCACCAAAAATCACACTATGAAAAAAATTAAAATAATAATAACCACTGCAAATAGCACACTAAACATCATATTATATTCCAAAAAAAAGGCCCATATGGCTTTACAAAAATAATATTACAAAAAATAAAACAAAATAAATATGAGAAGTAGAACTGATAAATAAAACTAATGTTATTAAACCTGAACTGAATTAAGCTGCATGATGCACACTGTTATGGATCTGAACTGACTTGTGCTGAATAATGACACTCTTATAATGACTTATAATGATAATGACTGAATAATGACAGTCTTTTAGAGCTGTTTTACACCAGAACCTGAATGGTCTCCATAGTTTCAGTTTCCTTAACTGATTCTATCATTTTCCTGTTTATTGCATTTAATATTTTCATTTTCAGAATCTGTGAATATACTGTGTACAAATATTGATAATACTTTAAGGTCTAATTCTGACTATTAACTACGACTTTTGCCTCAATAAACTCCTAATATTCTGCTCATTAATAGTTAGTAAGGTAGTTGTTACGTTTAGGTAGGGTTAAGAGATTGTAAATATAGTCATGCAGAATAAGATATCAATATGTGCTTTAATAAACAGCCAATATGCTAGTAATATGCATGCTAGTTAATAATGAGAATTCCTTAACATAAAGTGTTACCCAAATATTTTAAGAGATTTTTTTTCAAAAGTTGTTTTTTGTTTGTGCTTTTGGAGGCTATGTTGGTCTGGATTTGACAGCGTTTTGCAAGGTGTTGTGAACATGCTGTAAAATGGGGATATTTCTGGGGACAAAGCTTCTCCATTTATGACCCTGCTGAAAAAGTTGGTTTACTTATCTTAACTGGTCCCACAGAACAAGTGCCCAAAACTCCTATAAAATCAGACCAGCACGTCATCTTAGGCTGGATTTAACATTTTTAGCAAGGGAGTAATGCAAACCTTGTTAATTAACTATTTGCCCAAACTGTCAATTGTTAACTATTGTCAAACAATCACAAATATCAGTTTTCATGTTGTTTTAATAATTATTTTGATGACAATGTTGCCATACCATGTTACCAAAGTTTTAGGGTAACAGCAATAACTGGAGTAGCTATGGTATTCGGGGAACCATTATGTTGAATAAATTCAAAAACACATTTAAAATATAAACATTTAACAACGCATTTAAAATAATCAAACTCAGACAGCATTAGGTAACAGATCTTTCAAAGTGCCATTTTATTCCATATCCAAGCATAATTCAAAAATATCAAATTTTAGCAAAATCCTGCATCAAACCACAGCGATCGGCCACAATGTCATGCCTTCATAAACCATTTCAACATCTGAAAGTCAAAATCAAATGCATTTCTGCTTACCGACACAGAAGGTCCCTGACACTGGTAATAAATGAACTGTTTGGCCAGTTTAGAAGACACACCGATCCAGCCTAGCATCCTGTCTCTGTGTACAATACTCTTTAACTACAACTTTTACATCATAATATAAAAATATGACTTGCTGGGAGAAGAGGGCTCTTCTTAAAACTGTACCGGAGAGCAGAATGCTGTAAAAGAATAAACTATTGCACATTCATCTAATCCTTTAGGAAAGACACCGCGGGGAATATATTCTGAACTAAGAAACGTTCATCCCTGCAATGACACGCACAATGAACCCGTTCACACAGTGATACTTATACACTCCTGCTGCACTTTGACTATGTCCTCAGAGTAGCACAAACTGACACACATAGTGGCTTGTATTTGGCACATGAGGAACACTAGAATGTATAATGGGGTCCAAAAGTCTGAGACAACCAGTGAAAGCGCTTGTTTTTATTTTTAGAATTTAATACAATATTTTTTATTACTAATTACATTGACAGCATAATAATTTTAGTAACACTTAATTTTTGTTTTGTTTTAAATATTCTTATTTTTTAGTTATTTTATGACTTTTGCGTAATCCTAGAACTGTACAGTTATTTCCAGGATTAAAACCCATGATTTAATGTGGTCTCAGACTTTCAAACCCTCATGTACATCCATTATAAATGACTAAAATTCAAAAGAGAAAATGTGACTATAGAGTTTAGAAATGCATGAACACACAAACACACACTTTCAGAAGAGGCAAAGGCAGTCAGTATGATTTCCTACACAGGCATTCGGAGTAGGTTTTCAGTTGCAAACAACATTCAGATATATCTGGGACTTTCAGAGTAATCTTTAAATAAAGAATTAAATAATTAAATGAAAGAAGAACAAAAATAGGTAATTTATCGGTTCCTTTGAGCAGCGCAGTGCGTAAAATACAGCAGATTTCATTGTATTCGGTGCGGTCTGAGTTTAAAAACAACCTGTTTATCACTTTAGCAACCTAATAAAATCATTCAACTTGTTTTATTTCATTCACTCATCTCTGTGCACACTTTCAAAATTTAGATTATATAGTACTTCTCTTATATAAACAGAAAGTCTCTCTCAACATTTCTTCCTTCAGCCTAATAAATAGAGAAAACACATTTGAAAGTACTAATTACTGGAGCACATGTACTCGGCAGAAGAGGTATGAGGTGAGGTGTGCGCGAGCAAGAGTTTTGTGTAGGACAGTGTGTGTGCGCGTGTCGGTCAAGAGTTGTCCACCACTTGGTGCGGCAGGGTGACAAAAGAGCCGTTAATGAAGGAGCCTTGTTTTTCACGTCCCTTTAGGAAGTAGGTGAGCAGCTCTCCTTTCCCCTTGACGAATATGGGTCCTCTCCTGACGAAGCGGAAGCCGTAGTCCTTCAGGATGCAGTAGCAGTCCTCCACCACCTGGGGGAAGCAGAGTTTGTTTAGCTGGCGAACAGCGCTGTCACCGTTACAATGCAGTAAAACTCAGAAAACAGTTTGCACTTTTGAACTTCCAGTTGCATCGTCCTGTTTTTTTTTTTTTTAAATGTTCTCAGGTTTTATTCTAAGACATCAGTTAAACCCCCTTGTGATTTTTTATGAGTCTTGAAAAAGGTGCTTGCTAACAAATCGTTAAATGTGACTACAGAGGTTGTCGAGACTTTAAACACAATCACACCAAACAAGTAAACGTAATCGGTTACTTTCGTAACCTCGGTTCCCTGAGATACGGGAACGAGTATTGCATCGCTAGAAGCTTATGGAAAAACTCCTTTTTCTCCGAGGACTGAAGACTTATTTAATCACGCAGTGTAACTGCACGGCCATTGGTTTGTGCAGTGATTATAAAACGAACCAATGGCTCGGCAGCGGTGCTGCACGAGCCTATGGCGGTGAAGCACGCCAGAGCCCGCCAGAATGGGCGGGGCCATCTGGCTATATAAGCGGGCATTTCGCCATAGGATCTCAGGTCAGTTCGACTGAAGCAATGACACCGAGTCGTGCAGCGTCATGGCACGGCAAGGAACACAGTACTCGTTCCCGTATCTCAGGGAACCGAGGTTACAAAAGTAACCGAGTACGTTCCCTATGGATACTTCACTCGTACTGCGTCGCTAGACGCGTATGGGGAACCAATACAATCCTACCGTGCAATGAGAGAGGAACGACTGATATGAACTGGCCTTGAGCGAAAAAAGGCTCAGAGGGACCAATTATGCGCAGGGTGAGCCCTGCAGGAGGCAAGAGGGCTGAACTCATTGAGGTCAGCCCAGCCTTCAGATAATCGTTCCAACGGTCGTATGTACAGCCTCAGCACTAGTAATAGGGCCAAGAGAGTTCCTGAAGAGTCAGGCAGAGCCTGAGACTTAGACCGCCTAGACAGGCGTGTGCCACTTTAAGCAGATAAAAATGATATTCATCATCCAAGTTATAGAACCTGGCAAAGGTGGACGGCGAGGCCCAGTCGGCTGCCGCACAGATGTCTGCTATGGACACACCACTAGACCACGCCCAGGAAGAGGCCACGCCTCGAGTGGAATGGGCTCTCACTCCTATGGGACTCTGAAGACCCAGGGAGTAGTAAGCTAGTGTGATAGCGTCAACTAACCATCGAGAGATCCTCTGCTTGTGACCGGGGACCCTTTGGTGTGGCCGCCAAAGCATACGAAGAGTTATTCCGACTGCCTGAAGGGGGCGGAATGCTCGATTTAAATTCTCAATGCCCTAACTGGGCAGAAGGAGGAAGCACAGAGAGAGTAATAACCTGGACTCTAAACGGCGTGTAGAGCACTTTAGGGACATACCCATGTCTTAGCTTTAGGACGACTTTGGAGTCGTTAGGCCCAAACTCAAGACAGACAGGGCTTATTGAGAGAGCCTGCAAGTCACCTACTCGCTTAACCGATGCTAACGCCAGCAGCAGAGCGGTCTTCAGCGACAGTTTTTTAAAGCTCGCAGCCTGGAGTGGCTCAAAGGGGGAGCCTTTGAGGGCTCTCAGGACCGTGGGTAGATCCCATGTAGGGACCGTGAGGGGCCGGGGCGGATGGAGCCTCCTGGATCCCCTCAGGAAACGGACAACAAGGTTGTTCCGGCCCACCAACTGTCCGGCTATAGGAGCGTGAGAAGCTGCTATAGCTGCCACATAGACTTTGAGCGTGGAAGGGGAGCGGCCCTTGTCCAACAGCTCTTGGAAGTAGGACAATATCACCGATATGTCACATGTTATTGGGTCCTCGCTGCGGGTTTCGCACCAGGCGGAGAAAATGGACCACATAAGGGCATAGAGGCGTCTCGTAGATGGGGCTCTAGCTTGTGAGACAGTATTCAGGGCGCTCTCTGGGAGATCTACTGATTCCCGTTGAGAGCCCGTAGGCG